TGCAAAAGATAGGGCCAACCCAAGACATTTTAATGATTTATGACAGGGAAGTCAGAAAACTAATTCCGTTGTAATGAGGAAATTAAACATTTTTATTTTGGAGAATAAAAAACCATTGAAGTTCATAGTAGAACGTAGCCTGGAGGATTGAGAGGAGCACCTAATAAGTCTGAATTTATTTTTTTGCATGTTACATAGAATAAATAATATGTAACTTGCACAGAATACATCTATAATTACTCAGTGCAGAATATATGTATAAAATAATTTTTAAAAAACTTTTACAGGTTTTATTGTTTTATTTATTACAGCAGTGCAAGGAAAACTTGAACTTGCAAATGCTAGTGTCGGAAAATTTTCTTTTTTTCCATAAATTCTGACCCAGCAGTTTGGTACAGTGGGCTATCAGAGTGAGGGACTTACAACAATGCACCTTAAGACCTGATAGCAATGTCTAATGTATCTATTTAAACTATTTAAAACTCCATTAATCTCCAATGACCTATGGCCTAAGAAACTAAACCTTGGTATGTGCTAGCTTCTTTCAAGAGGGTTCACTATGCATATGTTATATTTGAAGTATACATTTTTTCTTTTAGAATGTTTTAGGTCAAATTCTTATATATACTTATCTTAGAATAAGTCCTGTTTCATTTAGAAACTTGGTTCTGAGAATTGGTGTACACTGCTGATCCCATCTGTATCCTATACATTCTCTATTATATTATGCTTCACAGCAGTTACAATATCTACTAACAATAATCTATAAAATAGGTTAGGATGACTGGATTAACTAAAGTTAAACTGTGAATTACATGAATGATTCAATATTTGAAGCAAGATGTTCAGATCTAGCATTCAAACCATTATATTAAAGCAGCTCTCTTACGACTTCCATTTTGACATAATGGTCAATTCAGTTCTTGGCTATATTTTTGTCCTTTTTTTAACATGTGCAAAATATTTTCTTTAACTTATCTGCAGATGTCACTTTAAATATTATTTTCCAGGGTTTTATTTTCCAGAAAAACAGATGTCTGTAATTATCTCTACTTTGACCTCTGAGACTTATCAAAGTCAAATAGGCAATCATCCAATCATATGAGCTATCATTACTAGAGGAAAAGTAATTATAATCTGAATATGTTTGAACATGATTATTATAAGTCTAAACTGTTGTACTACTGATTGGGATTGAACTGAAAAAAATATCATTTTATGATTCAAATTATATAACTTCATTTGTTTTTGTAATTTTGAAGAGTAGAGAGCAACATGGTTTAATAATGTAATCCTTTAACTGAAAACAAAGCACACAGTGATAGCTCAAAAGCCATAAAAACTGTCTTAAACCAATGAAGGAAAAATCAGAGAAGCCTCAAAAAGAATGAATAAGGTCTCTGGAAACAAAGAATATTACAAAATCTTTAATTCAAATTTTTCAGGGAAAACAAATAGCAATAGGAAAAACTTTTTGATAAACATGAATATTATTTCATTGGTCTCCATGAGTATAAAGATAATCCTTGAAGACTTAGCCTATTCAATTAAGTTCTTATATTAAAATTGTCTGACAGAAAATATTGACATAGAGATATTCATATCCTATTCATATACTATTTAGAATTATTTAAGTATTTACTTACATAATCACATTATCATCCTCAAGTGTATCTTTAGTAGCAGCTTTTTAATTATTTCTCCAAATCCCACTTCAATTTAATATGTTTCTAGACTCTCATTCAGGATATTAATATATATGCACTGTATGCTGTAGGCACTTATACACATAGCCAGTTCTGCTTCATTATGTTCTACAGGCTCTTATATATGGAATACCATGTTATCAAATGAACATTATTTTATCTCAGTGGTTTCACTGGAACAGTTAAGGTGCAGAGTCTTTCAGTTAAGTTGGACCACTGGTGGACAAATGTATGTTTTTTTGGTAGGAATATACAGATGAAGTTTGCTATACTTTTCTCTTGGGGAATCTGTCCTTAAATGGTTTTCCCTGAATTCAGTATAGCTGAAATGTTTTTTTATGGCTTGTTTCTTAATAGTTTTTCAATGATTCCATGTTCAAACCCTCAGTACTGGATAGTTTGTTGTTTGCAATAGAATTGTAATAAATCGGCAGGCAAGCTCATTCAGACATGTCAAGTTTTAATTCACATTCAGATGTGGAATCTGAATCTGCACTAGGCATAAGGATCATATCTCAACTAATATTACTCTATCCTGTCCCTTCAGTTTTACATAACCTCAGATCTTCATTTCCCCATGGTCTTGGGATTGGCGTGGCTCCAGACGTGTGACCCACAGATTTATTGGTCCCAGAACTTGGTCACCTTTCAAGGTTTACAGTGTGTGGACCACACCTGCCAAATCTGTGCTGGCCAGGTGGCGAGTGCCCCAGGGGTCTCCCTGCCCTCTGAACTGGCGACTTATGCTGACATGTTCAGCGAGACTGAGGTGGATCAATTGCCCCCGCATAGGCCATATGACTGCCCCATTGACTTAGTTCCTGATGCACCTCTCCCCGTGGGGCATTTGTATTCCATCCTGGACCCCTGACTTGGCGCATTGCAGGACTTTCTGGACAAAAAATTGGTTTGAGGTTTTATTTGGCCCTTGTCTTCGCCAGTGTCTGCACCAGTGCTCTTTGTCAAAAAGAAGTCCGGAGAATTTAGGCTTTGCTCTGACTATCGAAAATTAAATGCCATTACGGTATGCAATTGATACCCGCTGCCCCTCATCCCAGAACTTCTGGAATGGCTCTGGGAGGCAAAAATCTTCACGAAATTGGACTTGAGAGGAGCCTACAATCTCGTTAGGATTCGGTCGGGTGATGAGTGGAAGACAGCGTTTGGTATCCGGGCACTTCAAGTATACAGTGATGTGGTTTGGGCTGACCAACGCCCTTGCAGTTTTTCAACACTTTATGAACAACAAATTCCAGGATCTGTTAGATTAGTTCATCGTGATCTATTTTGGACAACATTCTGATCTACTCCCCTTCGTGGGAGATGCACCACCAGCATGTCCATCAGGTCCTGCAACGGCTCCGAGATCATCGTTTGTATGCCAAACTGAAGAAATGCCAATTCTATCAAATGACCATTGATTTCCTAGGTCATCACATTTCTCCTGAGGGCATTGCCATGGAGCCGAGCAAGGTCGAGTCTCTGCGTAGTTGGCAACCCCCACGTTGCGTTAAAGATGTCCAGCGACTCCTTGGGCTCGCCAACTACATAGAACCTTCATCCCTGATTTTGCTTCCATGACTGCGCCCCTCACTTGGCTCCTGCAGAAAAAGACCCAGTTTCATTGGGATACCCCGGAGCAACTGGCTTTAAAGGAAGCCTTCATGAAGGAACCCATCTTGAAACATCCTGACCCGCAATGGCCGTTTGTCGTGAAAGCGGATGCCTCTGACATTGCCATTGGAGCGGTGTTACTCCAGGCTACTGTGCACGGCAGTGCCCTCTTCCCTTGCGCGTACTAGCGGAAACTGAATCCGGCCAAGTGCAACTATACCATCTGGGACAAGGAGCTACTGGCCATCAAATTGGCATTTGAGGCCCGGAGGCATCATTTGGAAGGTGCTCGGCATCAAATTGAAGTCCAGATGGACCACAAGAATCTGGAAAGCTTGCAGACACCCGGAAATTGAACCAACAGATTCAGTTGTCTCTCTTCTTCGCTAGGTTCAATTTCCGCATTACCTACATACCAAGTGGTCGCAACCAAAAGTGGATCCTCTGTCAAGGAAGCCAGAATATTCCTGTACAGAAGACAAGCTTCTGCCCAGGACAGTTCTCCCCGGAGAGTTTTTCTCTGCAGTTTGGGAGCCAATAGATGTATGGGCTTGAATTTGGGAGGCAGAATAGCATGATGCATGGGTGGCTTAGCGAAGGGAGGATTTGGGGCCAGATTGCCCATGGGCCGTCACAGATGGACTCCTGAACTATTGTGATCGGCTCTATGTTCCAGGAGGGCCACTCAGAGGGCTCATTCTCAGCCAATGTCATGATAATCCGGCAGTGGGGCATTTTGGCCTATTCAAGACACTGAACTTGGTCTCCCATACATTCTGGTGGCCTCGAGTACAGCACGATGTCCAGGCCTATGTCACATCTTGTATACAGTGTTGGCAGGCAAAGTCAGCGATAGGGCCCCCATCAGGTCTACTTCAGTCCTTGCTGATGCCCAAAAAACCCTCGGAAGCAGTGTCCATGGACTTCTTGATGGACTTGCCCCCATCTTCTGGCTTAACGACACTATTTGTGGTGGACATGCTGACCAAGATGACGAATTTCATTCCTTGCTGTAGCTTGCCGTCAGCCCATGCCACCATTTGCATGTTCATCCAGCAGATTTTCCGGCTGCATGGCCTCCCTGATAGGGTCATTTCAGATAGAGGGGCTCAATTTACGGCCTATTTCTGGAAGGGGTTGATGAAGGCCCTAGATGTAAAAATCTACTATCATCAGCGCATCATCCACAAACTGATGACAGGATCGAGAAAGTAATCAGAATCCTAGAGCAATACCTGCACTGTTATGTGAATCAGCAGCAAAACAATTGGGCAGACTATCTTGCGGTAGCCAAGTTCATGTTTAACAACTCATAGCACGCCTCCACGCATATGACACCGTTTCTGGCCAATGTGGGGTATCATCCCCAGCTTTTTCCCCTCTCGCAGCTCGACTTGCCAGTTCCTGCAGCTAACAAATATCTGACCGAATTATGGGCTATCCATCAATTGGTGTGGCAACAATTAGATAAGGCCAAAGCAGATTACAAGACAGTTGCCGATCGATTGAGGTGAGATATGCCTACATTAATGGTGGGAGATCGGGTGTAGTTATCAACCAGGAACCTGCCGTCAAACTGGCCTGCCAAAAAAACTAGATCACTGGTACCTAGGACTGTTCCCTATTGAAGCCATCATCAACCCAGTTACTTATCGGTTAACTTTGTCACCATTGTTACAGGTACATCCGGTCTTTTATCGGTCTCTGTTGGTCCCAGAAGAACTGGCTTGTCCACTCCGACAATCAGAATATCCCCCACTGGAACAACATGACGCTGACAGCTCTCCCAAGTATGAGATCGCCAATATTTGAGACTCCCGATGGCTGAAAGGGCAATTTCAGTATTTGATTGAGTGGAAGGGCTATGGACCGGAGTTGTTCACCTGGGATGATGCGACCACTGTCCATGCTCCTACCTTGGTGACAGCGTTCCACGAACAGTTCCCTTCACGATCGCATCCTGCCCGGCAGACCCGGGGAAGAGTCCTGTGGTGCTGGATAGTGTTGTGATTCGTCACCAGCCTGTGGATCTGGCACTGAGGAATCAGATGAGGAGGAGGGGCCTGGAGTGACATTAGAGTCAGAGGAAAGCTCTGAGGAGCTCTAAGACTTATAGTCAGATGACCCTGGCCCCTCCACTAGCGCTCATGCTGAGACACAGCTGTGCTGGGAGCCTGAGTTGACAGTAATGCAGAACAGTTGGGAAACATCCAGGATGCAAAAAAGGCGCAGGCAAGAGAAGCGAGTAGAACAGAGGAGTGCAATGGGGTGGCTCCAAAGGAAAAGGCATTAAGAAGCCACACTTTGGCTGAATTATAAAAGGGAAGGTGTGGGAGGTTCTGGTTGCCGAAGGCAACCGTTCGTGTTGAGGATCAAGTTTCTGTGAACTGTGTTTGTTTGCTTTGGACATTGACTCAGGTCTGTGAGAATAAACAGGGTTGGTTTTTTCTTGCGGTTTCTACCTGCTTGTTGGAAGAGGGGTTTCTCCTTGTGAGCACAACAAGGACTCTCGTAGGCTGGGACAGAACACCATCCTTATTCACAACATACATACAGGCAACATACATAGTACAAAAGGAATAGGATTTGCCATTTGTGGGTGTGCTTGTCTCTCAGGAAATTATTAAGATTATTGAATAAAACAGTTCTCTTAGCTCACTGTTGTAATTGTAGCTTTGCTGAGTTGCATGTATTGTTCTGAAAACAATAGAATCACATTCCTTATATTGACAGCAAAAGTCATAGTTATGAAAGAAATCTAGATAACAAATTTGGACACTTTGGCTAGAAATGATTTCCAGTTTATTGGGGGATAATGCCAATGCATCTAAGACTGAAAGTATTTGGACATACTTTGCACATTAATTAATCTTTTTTTCTTTTCTTTTCTTTCAGATTTTTAAGGCTGACATTTGTAAGCCAATAAGAAGCCTGGGGGGAAAAGAAGGCTAATTCTTTTGTTCTCTGGAGACCATGATCCATTTAAAATTCACTTAGTATCAACCTCTCATGTGGGCTTGCATGAATTGTATTTGGCCAGTAGATGGCAGAGCTGCTGCAGGTAGCAGCAAATCTGTAGGGACAAGGCAGAAAGTATTCTAAGCAATCAACCAGTTCAACTCCCTTACTCCCCCTTTGCTTGTCAGCAGCTGGATGCCTGACAGACTAGGGAAAAGAGCAGCTTGGGAAGAAGGAAGGGGAATGGTGCTGAGCCAGCATTCCACACAAAGAACCAGCAGCAGGTTGAGGCTTTTCCAGCACAGTGTGTTTCCTGTTGATGACAGCTTTGGCCCAAAAAAGAGGGACACATAGGTTCAGAATCCCAAAACCTACATCAGTCAGAAGCCTTTCTACTTCTGAGAATAAAGGGCAGAAATTTGAGAAGAGCTAAACTTGGATTTGATTTTAAGACCACAATTCCCCAAATAATGCACCTAAGAACAATGTTTTTGGACATGTGCAGATTGCCATTATTTACTACCATTTAGTAATCATTGAGCCTTTTCACACATACAGCTATATCTCTTTTCACACATTGGGGACTGTATCTCTAGGCAACATAGTTTTTATTCCGTGTCCCCATAATGTCTTAATTTCATTCCAACCCCTCAGATTTGCTTAAGTCATGTTTAGCTGTTCTGGTGTGTGTGTGTGTGTGTGTGTGTTTTCAATTCAGAATAGAACTGGAAGGTACCTTGGAGGTCATCTAGTCCAACCCCCCTGCTCATGCAGGAGACCTATACCAGACATGTCAAGCTCATGACGTCATGTGACATCGCGCAATGTATTGGGACTTTTCCCCCATTGCTGGCAATGGGGTGGGCCAGCAGTTTGATATGCCTGCCCTATACCATTTCAGACACATGGCTGTCCAGTCTCTTCTGAAAAACCTCCAACTTCTGAAAGTAAGTCGTTCCACTTGTGTGTGGAGAGGTGGGGGGTGTATGCTCTGTCACCCATAGACTTGAAGAGAGTTCAGATGATTGGGCAGTAGAAGCAGAATAGGGATTAGCAACGTGGACATCACATTTCATGCTGATATAGTTTTCATTCATGGGTAGTGAAGGCTGTAGGGGTTGACTGAGCCAATACACATCTTCTATTTTGGGTTAGCGGCTTGGTAATTGCTGCTGTCCATCTATCTTCTTGGGGGGGGGGTTCACCTGTTCTGTCCCCTCTAACCTCCAACCTCTGCTTGCCTTCTGGCAATTAAAAGGCCTAAATACAATTATTGAGTTTATTTATATAATACTATTTCTCACAATTTGATCATATTTTAGACCAGGGGTGTCAAACTCAATTTCATTGAGGGCCGCATCAGCATTGCAGTTGCCCTCAGGAGGGGATGGGTGGGTGTGGCCTACTGGGTGGGTGTGGCCAGCTCTACATTGTTCGCGTCAAGGGTGCCTGTGGGGGCCTGGGCAGAAGTGGGACAGATCTGAAGGTCTCTGGCAGAAGGGGGTGGAACCAGGGCAAGCACCAAGGCATAGTCCATTTCTTCATTCCTCACAAAGGGTGATACCTCCCCAGCATGCACCCAGCATGCTGTTTCTAGATGGCCTTGTGGAGCTAAGACTAAATGCGTTTCAGCATAGATGGCCACCACAAAATTATACATTGGCTCCTGGCTGGCCAGGGCCAAGGCAGCAGGGACCATTCCCTCACTGTTTCCAAGATGGCTTCGCGGGCCACATGAAACCACTTCACGGGCCGCATCCGGCCCCCGGGCCTCGTGTTTGACATGTCTGTTTTAGACCACCTGGTTCCATCTGTATGCTTGTATATATCTTTGATTAATACCATTCAGCATGTTTTAGAGAGCTAATGAGTAAAATTATTTCCCTACTTTAATATATAATTTCATTTATTTCAGTAATTCTCTCTTCTATTAAGAGATTTGTTCATCCATCATAGCATGGTTTGATTTGATTTGATTTGAGTGTCACACAAACTGAATCCAGATATTGTGATTTTTCAATCATGGTTTAGTATTAATTTGTTCTAGGACAAAATAATAAGCTAAAACAAGATAGGACTCTTAAAATCCCTAGTTTAGTACAGAATCAATAACTAAAGATTCATGAACCACTGAACCTTTTCCTTGTAGTCTTGAAACTTCCTTCACATGGCTGTTACTGATTTGATACGTGTGGCATTATTGTTTCCTCCCTCCAAATCACTGCAGGAAAATATCAATATCTGCCTAGTTGAATGGATACAAATCTCATATTAGTAATTTCTGGCTTGTGAAGGGATGGCTTAAATGCCTGTTACATCTATAACAATCACCTTCCAAAGGAAAAACAAGTCTTTTTATAAGCTGATGTGCAATCCATGAGCATAAGAGAAGCCTTTTCTTTCATTTGAGAACAGCCTGCATGACAACTTTTAAGGCAATCCTTTTCTACAGGTGAGTATATGTGAATTGAACTAAAAAGGCCAAACATTCATAGAATTGGATCCCAAAGAGAGAGAGACAGAAACAAAAAGTCATATAAAATTAATTGTGTGACAAAAGGAAATATAAAACTTATGTGAAACATTTTTGCTTCCAAATACAAGGACCCTTTCAGAGGTTACTGTATTGATATAGGAGCTATTTTTCTCTTTTTATATGCTTGAAATAATAAGACGGTTGTGTCAGATTTTCTCATGATGTCTATAAGAACCACCAATTGCCCACATGATCTTAACTTCATATGGAAGTAAATTGAGCTGGATTCATACATCATACTTTGCTATAATTTGACTTCTTTAGTTTATTTATTACAACATATATAATCCAAGCTCTACAAAGACTACCAGTGGGAGGGAGGGAAGGAAGGACCGTTTAAAACTAAAAACTAAATTTGTTCCTATGATATTCAGCTACAACTACCAGTATGGCCAAAGGTCCTGAGAGTTGTAATTCAGCAAACTTGGAAGGTTATAAATTCCCCCTTCCTGGCTTCAGGGAATTTGACATAGTCACTGCTAGATATAAAACTACAGTTTTGCAGCAAAAAACTTTTCACCCAGGAAGAGAACAGTTTGGTGAACAGATAGAAAGAATGAAATATAGGGTATTCCCACTGCTTCTCCATGTAAAGTTCCTTATTTTAGAAAAAAAAAATGGACATGTTGGATTCATTACCTACCTTCCATATAATTCCACAAGTGGTAAAGTTTCCTCTTGTTTAATTGGACTCCTTATAACTTTACTGGTGCATCTACCCTTATGAACATTGCTGCTGTATTTCCATAACATATTTCACATGATTTATTCAGTTAATCCAATGTTTAGAGTTCACGAGAAATCATGCTGTAGCTGCCTTATAGAATATTCTCCTCTCGGAGATTAGAATGGACCAAACCCTCTTGGCTTTTCACAGAGCTTTAAAAACCTGGCTATGTTCCTGGGCCTATGGGTCGGAATGTGTTAAGGGCTTTACTCTTAGTTGATTAACTAATTTTGTGGATGTTTCATTTTAATGTTTTTTAAATTGTTTTAATTGTCAGCCATCCAGAGTCATTTGGTTGAGGAAGGTATATAGAAATGGGATAGATAGATAGACAGACAGACAGATAGATAATGAAGTAATCACACTGACTGTCTTCAGACAACACACTAGGCTAAAAGGTGGTTGGCTAGTTTGTGGCGTAGTGTTTTGTCAGGACATAGTTTCTACCTGAATGCATTTTTTTTTTAATCAGCTGTCATAAGAACATCAACTGCTGATTCAGGCCTACCATTCATCTAGCTTAGCATTCTTCCTTCAGATAATTGATGGGGCGCAGATAGCAGAGGCAAGCTGACAAGTAGGAAGGCTGTTATGTTGGGCTCCACCATTAATGTCTGAACATCTGGAATATACTGCTTATACAAAGGAAACTTTCAGATATCATGAAACAATGTGCCACACTTATTGAGGTAAAGCAGTGTCAATCTGACTTGGCAGCCATAGAAAAGACATACGTGCATGTACCATTCATGTACATGCAAGCAAAGGCAGCTCCTGGCTAGGCAGTCAAGGCTGCCTTGTCCACTTAACACCTCTCTTGGTGCAGTACAGCAAACCCAAGAACTCCTGGCTTTTGTTTTCCTGAAAGTTTTGGCGAGGTTCCTGCAAGCTTATCCACTGCAGCCAAGCTCAGAGTAGAGGGGGGAAGAGATGGAACTGCTCTCTGGGCACGAAGATGCTGCTTGGACTGCTCTCAGACAACTCTGAACAGCTGGTGATAATTATGGGCTGCAGCTTCAGAGGAAGTTGCTGGCTGTGGGGAGTGTGCAGAACTTGGCTGCAGCTCAGCTGCTCTTAAGGATACAGCCAAGAGAGATGTGGGAGGCAGAGCAACAGGGAGAGTAAAAAGTCTAATTATCCTTCTACCACCAGAATCCACTCCCTTGTCGAATCATTTCGTCTTTGTGAGAGACCCTCAGCATACGTAGGAAGGACCATGTTGAGCTGCCAGGAATTTATAGCACCAGCACTAAAAGTTAGCAAGGAAAATAAAACAAAAAAACCCAAAAGAATCTGTCTCCATTTGACAGTCTTTTGTTGTTGTTGCTGCTGCTGCTGCTGCTGCTGCTGTTTTCTTTCTAAAAAAAAGTTAAGCAATTATTAAGAGAAAGAATTCTTTTATATTTAGGATGATATTGGAATGGGAGCTTTTGGCTTTAATATTTTCACTTCATGGTTAAAAACAAAGCTGGTTTATTTATTTATTTATTCATTTGCTATTTTAATTCACAGCAAGGATCCTACAAACTTGTTTTTCTGAGCCAAAATGTTACTTAGATTTACCTCTCTTTCAAACCACTCTTTCCCCACAATTTTCCTGCTCATTCATTTAGAATTTTGCTAATCTAACTTCTCAAAATACAACTGCT